ACACACATACATACACACAACCATACATACATACATACACACACATACATACAGACACCTACATACATACCTACATACATACATACATACATACATACACGCATACACGCATACATACATACATACATACATACATACCTACACACATGCATGCATACATACATACATACATACATGCATGCATACATACACACATACATACACACATGCACACACATACACACATACATACATACATACATACACACACATACACATACATACACACATACACACACATGCATACATACAAACACACATACATACACACATACATACATACACACACGTACATACACACATACATACACACATACAGACAGACAGACAGACAGACAGACAGACAGACAGACAGACAGACAGACAGACAGACAGACAGACAGACAGACAGACAGACCCACATATGTACGTACGTACGTATCTACATACATCCATGCATGCACACATACATACATGCATACCGTCAACGCGCATGGTAAGGACGCGCGCCTTTTCCGGGGCACCCTTCGTGCCATTGCTTCAGCGGCCTGTTCTTTTGCCGCTTCCACCTGCCAGCCTCTCAGGGTACCCTCTGGGCGGGCGCCATCCCTCGGCTGCGCGGTGGGGCGTTCCTCTAGTGGGCAGCTCCAAAGACGCGGGCTACAAGTGTACCCTTGGCCGTCCTTCGGCGCGTCGCCCTCGTCTTCGCCCGTGGCTCAATTTGCGGGCGAGCTTGGCCCGAAGAACGTTGGCCAAACAGGGTTTCATTGGCCGTCCTTGGGCGCGCCGCCGCTGTTCTCGGTCGCTTTCTTCCGTCGCGGGCGGACGAGGCCTTGAGGACGTGGGTCACCAGAGCGTTGCGTGCTACACAGGGGAAGCAGATGGAGCACGAATGCACCAAGTCAGATAGAGGCATAGAACGCAAGTGATTCAATCGGTTTTTCTCAACCAGTTTTCGGGTGATTCACCCGCTGGCAGGTCATCAGTCGGCTGCGCGCTGCACAGGGGAAGCATTTGGAACACGAATGCGCCAACTCATGTCGAGGCCCAGAACGCAAGTGGAAAAATTGGTTTTTGTCAGCCAGGTATCGGGTGGCCCACCCGCTGGCGGGTGACCTGTGCGCTGCGCGCTACACAGGGGTAAAATGTGGAGCACGTTGGAAAACAGGGCTCCCTTGGCCGTCCTTGGGCGCGCCGCCGGTGCCCTCGGTCGCGTTCTCCTTCGCGGGCGGACGATGTCTTAAGGACGCGGGCCACGCAGAGTTCCCTTGGCCGTCCTTGGGCGTGCCGCCCCCGCCGTCGGCCGTCGCCTCGTTCGGGGGCGACGTGGCCCGATGGGCGCTGAGCAGGCAGGAGCCCCTTGCGTGTCCGCGCGCTCGCAGCATGCGCCGCGTTGCCAGGTGCCCTCCGATTCTGGCGCCATGCCCAGAGGGGCCCTTTGTGTCCTTGCGCTGTTTTTTGCGTTGAGCCCCGACGCCAGTTCGGCAAGGACGGGGGCGGGTTAGGGCACCCTTGCGTCCCTGGAGTTTTGGTCGCCCGCCGCCCCAAAAATCCAAAATTCGGCATCCAAGGGTCTTGCGTCCATGCACCCGTCCTTATCCTACTCTTTCACTGTATACATATACATATGCAGATACATGAACCGATCTATGTCGTGTATTTTACGTTGTGCTGCAGTCTATGTGGTGCACACCGAGTGCCCACTTGTGAGTTGTCAGCCCCACTGCTCGCGCAATCGTCCCACCCGCCCACCCGCAACTTGGTTGGCAACACCCACGCGGTGTCGATGGCGATAGCTGTTTGGCGTTGGCTGAGGCATCGCTGCGGCCGCGCCGCGGGCTCGCGCGCAGAGCGGCCAGCCAGTCTGGCGCGGCCAACGCGGCGGCGATGGCGCCGACCGTCAGGGAATTCCCCAGCGCGTCTCGCAGGCCGCGCCGCGCTGACGCGCGGGCAGTTCAGGGCGAGTCGGCGTCTCGGGCGGGCGCGGTATCACGAAAACGTCGACAAGGGCAGACACGATGGTGATAGCAGCGATGCTGGTGACGATGACGACGACGACCAACGACGGCGCCGATGTTGATCGCGCCGATGACGATGATGGTGTCCACGGGTCGGCGGTGAAGTTTTGGGGAAAAAAGGTTTCGACATGCGCGGCCGACGGGCGCGATGGGCCCACACGGTCTTAGTTGACACGGGTCGTGGCCCCCTTCAGCCATCACGCAAGGGCGTTAGACTGATTCCCACATGCGCGCGAGATGCTTGCTTGGCCGCATGTCCTGAAACAGTTGGGAACGATGTTTGTTCAATGTATTCGCAGGAACGCGCGTTTTGCAAATCATTTTTCAAAGCCAGTTGGGTTTCAGACGTTTTTTCGAACACTCGGTTTCGAACTCTTGCGACGCCTAAGCTTGGCTGCAGAGTGTCGGCACGTGCGCGCGACGACGCGCGCGTTTCGATTGTGTCAGATCCGTTGTAAAACGCATTCGGGGGAAACTGATGGTTTTGATGAAAAAGTGCGCGCGCATGCTTTTACAAATGCACGCTGCACCATCGCAGGGGGTGTGGATAATTCTGGGTTGGGGTAGACCCGACTTTTTACAAGAACAAAACGTTTATATTGTGCAGCATACGTTGTGCAATACATGTGGTGCAATATGTGCGGTGAGCAATTCACGTGGTGCAGTCGACGTGCTGCAACCTGTGTGGTGCAATCTGTTTTGTGCAACTTAGGTGTGCAATATACGTGGTGCAATATGCGGCGCAATCTACGTGCTGCAATTAACTTGCCGAACTTGGTGTCGGCAACTCCACTGCTCGCGCAATCATCCCACCCACCCGCCCGCAATTTGGCTTGCGAAACCCATGCGGGAGCGATTGCGATGAGTGCGGGGTGTTGGCTGGTGCACCTCTGCGACCGCTGGGCACATCCCAGCGGGCACTCCTGTCGTCAACGGTACACACGGTGATGCTAGTAGTGATGTTGGTGACGATGCTGACAGCGACGACCACGGCCAGTGACGGCGCGGATGCTGATCACACCGACGACGGTGGCGGCGCCCTCGTGTCGGCGATGAACGTTTTGGAAAGAATTCGACATGCGCGCGCGGCCGACGCGCGAAAGTGGCCCGCGTGGTAGCACTTGAAAAATGATCGCGCCACCACCCCCTTCAGCACGCGCGCAAGGGCATTTCGGCATGCGGCGCGAGAGGCCCGTCTGGATGAATTCCATGAACATGTTGAAAAAATATGGCTATATTAAGAAGACACAAGAGCTCGAACGCACGCTTTTCTGACAACGGATGTTGCGAAGCCTTGTGTTCTATGTGTGTTTCGGACATTCGATTTTGAAGCCGCTACGAGACCGAAGGTTGTTGAAGGATTGCGGCATGCGCGCGCGACGACGCGCGCGTGTGCACTTCGTCCCGTTTGTCGCAAAGGATTCTCGCAACGCCACGTGCGAAAGGGCGTTCGGACGATTTCGACACGCGGGCGCGCGAAGCCAGTTTGATAGCATGTTCTTCAAATGTTGATGATTTGTTTTGTCGAAAACTCGGACGAGCGCGCGCGCACGCTCTTTTTGAAAATCCGTGTTGCGAAACCCTGCGTTTAATCTGTATTTTGGACACTCGATTGCGAAATCCGTCCGGAAGCCGGGTTTTGGAAGGATTTCGGCATGCGCGCGCGACGACACGCGAGTATGCATTTCGTTTTTTTTTTTCCCCGCAAGTGATTATCGTAAACATATGATTTTTGATAAACGAGTGTGCGCGCATAGCTTCTCATGCAGAGGATGGCGGGGGGGGCGGCGATACCTGCCCAGCTGGGATAGCATGATTTCACAGGTAGGATGGACATTGGGGTCAGAACCACATGTACACTGCAATGCGAAAAGGTGGGTCGTCAACCCCGGGGGGCGCCCAATGTGGCGCGCCACGTTGCAACACGGGCACTGGGAGATGCGCGCCTTGTTCCCTGCAAGATGCCGATGCCGAGTTTCAGACAGGCTGCACACGGTTCGATGGAGCAGAGGGCCCCCCGCCAGCTAGAGGCGGATATGAAGAAACCCGCGTTCGTCGGGCCACAACGCGAAATCCTGCATCGAATCCGCGCGGAGAATCACCCGCGTTCATCGGGCCACAACGCGAAATACTGCATCGAATCCGCGCGGGGAATCTGCGTTCTGCAATCTAGGCGGCGGCGGGGACCGCGGAGAGCCGCCAGACCGACACCCCTTGGCCCAGACGACGGGCGGCAGCGGCGCGGCGACGGCGACCTGCGGAAGCGCCAGGCCGGCACCCACGCCCAGCTCCCTGGAAAATTGGCAAGGACCCATACTTGCAAGCATTCGTTTGGGTTATATATATAAGTACATATACACATATTTATATATATAAAGATTATCAAAAGAGTGATGTATATATAAATGTGTAAATACATACACGTACATATATACATATAGATGTCTAGCTATATTATTATATCAGGATCCAATATACGTATCAAACAGAACACAAATAGAGAGAGAGAGAGAAAGAGAGAGTGAGAGAAAGCACAGAACACTTGACAAAAACCGGGCGCGGAAACCTGCTCCAGGTTCCTGATGTTCTCGGCCTTCACGCTGCTGCGGGTGCTGCTGGACGAGGCCTACCTCAAGGCCGACGGGCGCAGGAGCCTGCTGGCGCGCCGGCGCAGCCGCGCACGGGCGGACGGCGGCACCCGCCCGCCGTTTGGGCCGGCAGCCGACAGCGAGCCCGACCACGCGGTCCACCAGGATCGACTACACGTGGGAGTGACCTTTCGCCGGAGGGACCTCTGGTGCGGGCCCAGTGGGGCCCCCCGATCGCCGAAGGCGATGCGGCAGTAGCGCCCTGCGCACCTGCGTTTGGCCCCCCCTGGCGGCCCCCCAGAAGCCGCGCACCAGAGGTCACTCTGACCCGAGGGTCATTCCTGCGTGCAGCCGCCAGGAGCGGCTGGCGCGGCTCATGCGAGTGGTGCTCTGCAGCTTCGCTGCGCTGTTCGGCGGCGTCTACGTGTGGCACGCCCTGGCGGCCAGCCTCGTCGGGAGCCTCGTCGCCCTCACTCTGCAGGAGTTTCTCGGCGCGTACGTGTGCATCATCATGGCCTTCGCCGTCGTGTCCTTCAGGCGCCTGTTGCACTCCGTTGCCCAGGACGCTGCCAGCTTGGCAACGGTCGCGTCCTCATCCGGCCCCTCCACTGGCCGGGCGGCGCCAGGACGAGGACAAGTCGTTTCAGAGCGTTCTGTAACGCTCTCAGCGGGTTCCAGAGCGCTCTGGAACGACCGCGGCGCGCGATACGTTTGCGGGCAGTACTCATATCCATATCCAGAGCGTCTTGGACTTTTTAGGAAGAGGTGCCGCAACGCCGAGGCGCACGGGATATGGATAAAATCAAGCCTCTTGGGGCCAGATTTTTATCCATATCCAGTGCGTCTATGGTTTCTGGGGAAGAGAGCCCAAGACTCTAAGACGCACTGGATGTGGAAATAACTATTGCCCGCAACGTTCTCCAGAACAGCCCGATCTCAGAGATCTCCCACTTGTCCCGGTCCTATCTCGTCGGGGTCATTGTTTCTGGCGTCCGCTCATGTGAGGGCCTGGGCCGTTTTACAATTTTCTCGGGATTGCGCATGCGTCTGAGGGCTCTTATCCTCCAAACAGTGCTTGCATTCAAGGTTCCTGCTTCTCTTCTGCAGAGCTCGGCCTGGCTGCCTGTCGCCCGGCGTGTGGCCGCCCGGCGCCGTGATTTCCGGTCACGGTTGCGATTGTGCGAGGCGGTGTTTGCTTCTTGGGGGCTCTCGGCTATCTTCTGGGGAACTGGGCCTGGTGGTCGGTCCGGCGGGCTTGTGGCCGCCCACTCGCCGCCCGTCGCTGCCGTCCTCGGTTGGTCACGATGTTGATCGTGCGAGGCTCGCACTTTGTATGGGTTTGCGCTGGTTTGCTTCGCGTTACACGTCATTGCTTTGCAGTCTGCACGGTTTTGCAATTCGCATTGCTTTGCAACGCGCATCGCTTTGCAATCGAATTGCCGTGCTTTGCACTGCTTTGCTTTTCGCTTCTGCGTGTTGCTTTGCATTGCCCTGCACCGCGTGGACTGCGTAATGGAGGATGACGATTAATAATTGACCGGGGGTCGTGTTCACACGGCGGCGCCCGGGATGACGATTAGAAAAAACCCGCCGCGGGCTGGAAAACTATGTTTGTTTAGTCGTTCCCCTCCAGTGAGAAAGTTGTGCAGAAACAGCAGAAAACTATTTGTTTCATCGTTTTCTTTCATTTTTTATATTAATCGTCATCCCGCATTAGTCTAGCATGGATTGCACCACCAAGACTGCACCGCACCGGTTGCACCACCGAGGCTCCACCGCACAGGTTGTAGGGGGGCTCACGCTGGCTAGCCTTCTGATGCTCCAACCCACTTTAGCCTTGACCACCGGAAAGAATTTCGAGCGCCAGATAAAAAAGTACCGAAACTCAAGGGCTTTCACGTGTCGGGCCCTGGGAGACAATCGCCCCCCACACTGCTTCGACACTCTCTCGACACTTTTCCGGGTGCTCGAAATTATTTCTGGGAGGTGGTCTTGAAGTAGGATGGGAACAACAGGAGGCCAGCCGTCAGTTCCTATGCGATGATTGGCCGCCCCTTCCGGGGCCTACGCCACGTGGCCGCCCAGAGGGGCGCCCGGAGTGGGCGCCCCTCCGTGCGCCGGCTGCCGCTTCCTGGCCCTGCGACCCCCGTGGCCGCCCGTGGCCCCCTCCGTGGGCGCACCCGTGCTCTCTGGCTGCCGTTCTTGTCGGGTGTCTGCCCGGCGACCGCCCGCGTGCGACGGCTGCCGTTTCCAGTTTCTGTTACGCCTGCGAGGAGGTCGGGCCTGTCCCTCAACAGGGGGAATATTAACAGATAGTCAAAGAAATAGTCTGGGGACTGTTTTTTCATTATTTTTTGACCATTTGGGATTCATGTTTGGGGCATTTTTCATTTCTCGTCGAAAATCCCCCTGTAGGGGGACACGCCCGACTTAAGCCGCTCCCATCGGGGGCGGAAAAGAGGGAGGTGATGACTAGCGGGGGCTGGATATCATAGGGGGGGCCATGATATTTCCCCAGGTTTTATGGCGCCTCTTCTTATTCCATTAAGTCCCTGGCCCAACCGCTGGGCCGCGCACATGCCGCCGGTCATGATTTGCACCCCCCCCTCTTGGACACCCTCCTCTTGGCCGCTCCCGATTCCAGTTTTTTACGCCTGCGAGAGGGTCGATGATCCTCAAGACGTGTGTCAGCCCAATGTGCGTTTACGCCGTTTAGCCCCAACAGTAGATCTTCACATCGCTGGCGTCGTATGGGATGGTCTCGATGGACAAGCCCACGTTGGCGCTAACTGCTAACTCACGTTCTGAGGATCATCGAAAGGAGAGGGAGGCGAAGCCCAAGCAAGCCCAGGAGGTGCCTGGAGAAAGGAGAGCCTTGGCACGCAAGGGGGGATGGCCAGGGCCCCCGTGGGAACTCGCGCCCCTGCCCGTGAACCGCTGCACCCCGAAACCGGGGCTGGAAGGGGCGGAGCAGCCCCATCCTCCTCCTCCTCCTCCTCCTCCTCCTCTCCTCCTCCTCCTCCTCCTCCTCCTCCTCCTCCTCCTCTTCCTCCCCTCCCTCCCCTCCCCTCCCCTCCCCTCCCTCCCCTCCCTCCCTCCCCTCCCCTCCCCTCCCCCCCTCCCTCCCTCCCTCCCTCCCCTCCCCCCCCTCCCTCCCCCCATTATCCCCGACGTCATGAGTTGCTCTTAGCGTCGGCCCTGGGAGGTCTCGACCCCTCCCCCGGGGCCCGCTCCTCGTCCCGAGCCGCATTTCGTGACGGCCCCGAGGCCCGGGTTGGGGGCCCCGCCGAGACTCCGGAGAGGCCTCCCAACTTGTGCGTGGCCCGAGGAGGTCTGGGGCTTAGTGTCGGGGGAGCGTAAGACCCGGGTTTGCCAGGACTCGGGTTCGCCATCGTTTTTTGACGACCGCGCCTCGGATTTTGACGAGGAGGAGTTTCGTGGGATGTCTCCAGCGGGAGGCCTCGTCAAAATGCAGGCTCGGCCTCGTCATTTTTTTGACGACCTCGTCGGGGGTTTCCGAGTCCCCTGTACCCGGGTCTTACGCTTCCTTGATAGTGGGCCACGGAAACGGCGGGGCCGTTTTTGCACCGTTTCCGAAAGAGTGTCCCTTGAAAATGGAAACGGCAAAAAAACGGCGACCGGAAACGGCAGCAAAAACGGCTCCAGGATTGGAACCGGAGCGGGAACCCGTAAAAGAACGGCGACGGAATCGGTCAAAAATTCTGCGTCGGAACCGGCAAAAAAAACTGCAAAATGGAACCGGTAAAAAAACGGCCCTGTCGTTTCCAGGACCCACTAAGGTCTGGGGCCGCACCCCCAGACGGGGAGTTCGGATGCAACTCCTGGGAGGTCAAATTCTGTTTTCGCCCTGGTCCGAAACCCGGCTCAATCCAGCTGACTCCCGCTTCGACCGGCTGAATCCCGCTCAGTTAATCCCCTGCTCAATCTGGCCTGATCCTGCTTAATCCGAGGCCCAATCCAGCGTAACAGCTTCCAAATGGGGCTTGGTCCTCCTAACTCTCAGGAGGGGAAAGAACACACAGACACACTGAATCGTCCACTCCCAATATGGAAAAATCTGGGAAGTGGGGGGGAAGACAAAAACCCAGAAAATATAAGGAGATGTGGGGAATCCCTTTTTTGGTGTATATTTATTTGTGTGCCCCTCTCTTGTCTCTCTCTCTCTATCTCTCTCTTCCCTCTCTCACTCTCTCTCTCTCTCTCTCGCTTTCTCTCTCTCTCTCTCTCTCTTTCTCTCGCTCTCTCTCTCTCTCTCTCTCTCTCTCTCTCTCTCTCTCTCTCTCTCTCTCTCTCTCTCTCTCTCTCTCTCTCTCTCTCTCTCTCTCTCTCTCTCTCTCTCTCTCTCTCTCTCTCTCTCTCTCTCTTTACATACACATATCCCACCCTCTCCCTCTCACCCTGTACACTTATAGAACCCGGAGGGAAAGCCTTCCCTAGGCCTACCCTTAGGCCTTTTCCCTAGGCCTATCCCTGGGCCCTTCCCCTAGGCCTACCCTAGGCCTACCCCCAGGCCTACCCCTCGGCTCTTCCCCCAGGCGTTGCCATAAGCTTACCCTAGGCCTACCCCCAGGCCCTTCCCCCAGGAATATCCTTGGCGTGCCCCTAGGCCCTTCCCGCAAGCCTACCTGAGGCCTGCCCCCAGGCCCTTCTCCTGTATCGATCTACCCCTGGGCCTGTTCCTACGCCCTTCCCCTATAGGCCTCCACGTGTGCTCCATGCACGCCCCACACTCTAATGTTCCTCCCGCCCGACCCGCCCGCCAGGACCCGCCCGCCCGACCCGACCCGCCCTTCCCGCCCCGATCCGACCCGCCCGTTGGGGTTCACGCGTGCTCGCTCGTGTATGCCCCACACTGTAATGTCCCGCCCGCCTTGCAGTCGGGCAGGTCTCGTGTCCTCTCGGGCGCCCATGCCAACCAATTCCGATCGCATTCCGGATGTGATCATGCGACAAGCACAGAAATCACATCATCGAGCAAAGCACTCATCGCATCTAACCCATGGGCGGATTGGCAATCGGGCGCCTTTGTCGGTCGCGTTGACTCCTGGGCCGCCGGGCATGTCTGGGCGCGGGGCGCGCCGTTCTGTTTCCCGTCATCGCCGATGCCCCTATGCAGCCATTTTTCAATCAAGGTGAGCATTTGCTGTTTCGCGCGCCCGCGCCTCCCGCTGGCGCCCAACATGGCGGTCGCGGTCGCGGGTGCGGCGAGCAAGGCGCAGAGAGGCCGTCCTCGCGGCAAGCGGCAGGCGGCGCTTCGTCGGCCTGCGGCGGCGGCCCGCCACGGGGCGCCCGCGTGGCCTGCTCCGAAGAGGAGGAGAGGCCGCCTCGTCAAGAAGACGCACGTGAAGCAGTCCATGAAGGAGAAGAAGAAGAAGACGAATATCCCGCACGTGAGGCACGGGACGAATACGGTGAAATCTCGAAAGGAGAGAATTGTAGTCAGCAGGGCGCTGAAGGATCTGCACAAGGCGAGCGACGAGAGCATCGTGGACATGCTGATCGGCGACGGTATCCTACAGGACATGACTGGCTGGCAGTGCCATTTCTGCAAGAATGGCGCCCTCGGGCCTCTGACTCTCGTTGAAGGGCGGGGGGGCGGGGTGGGGGGGCGGCGCAGATGCCGCGCGAAGAAATGTCAAAAGCGGGCCCTACCGCGCAGCGGGCTCATGATCTCAAGGCCTGCATCGGACCGAGACAGACTCCTCTCCAAGACCAGGCGGCGGCGCTGCACTGCGCCATCCTCAACGCCCCCCAGTCCACGGCCCATTGCCTGACGAGCTTGAATCACAAGACGATCGGGGATATCTACCGCGCGAAAGACATGGCCCGCAGACTCTACGTGCAGGAGATGGAAAAGTCCATCAAGTTCGGCAGCGCCCCCGGCAACAAGTCGTGGCACCACGTCGAGGCGGACGAGGTTGACCTCAGGAAGAACGTCGTCGACGACGGATGCCCGTCGCCCCACGATGCCGCTTCGACTTGGGAGGAATGGGGTGGCGCCCAGCAGCGGGGGGCCCCGCGCGCGCTCATCCTGACGCGTCTGAACCCATGGTAGACCGTGTCCCAGGCGCCAGGGCCAGGCCCCATCAGGGAGAACGAGTGGAAGAAGTTTGCGCAGAAGCACCTCCAGAACCGCAACGTCATCCTCCACATCAAGGGCGCCCTCGCCTACAAGCTCAAGGTTCCCGGGGTGATTCATAACCGCGCGGTTCATATGAAGAAGAAGCTGAAGGACAGGAGCGGGAAGCCAGTCAAGCGCAAAGGTAAGTTCGCGTGGATCCTCCCGAAGTACGCCAGGGAGTCAAAGCACAACGTTCCAGGAACGAGGAGGACGTTGAAGTGCATGGGGGGGGCACGCAGGTGGTCGACCGATTCTGGCAGTTCTTGCGCAGCTACCTGTCTGGGGCAGTCGGCAGCGCGTCCTTGCGTCACCGCGTTCGGTCTGCTCAATGGCCCACCGGCATCGGGCAGACGATGCCCGGTCCAAGACGGGGGAAATGCTGAAGCACCTGAACAGATGAGCGCGCCCTTCGCGAGTGCAGCGGTTCCGCCCGCGGGCGGGCGGCGATCCAGGATGCTGGCGCCATCGCGGGGCGCTGGCGTCTGTGCTGTTAACTGAGGGGGGCCACCGTTGCGAGCCATGTGCCCGCGCCGACGCAGGTTTCGGCGATGCCAGATCTGCACCAAGGGGGAGTGCGATCGTTTTCGGAAGCTTCGAAAACAGTAGCGTGATCGCCCTCCGTCGCCGCCCTTCGCGACGCCAGTTGCGGCGTCGCAGCGATCAGCAAGGGGTGCGTTCCTGAGGGAGGCTGTCCGCATCAGTCGAGTCAGTCAAACGCGTTGTAGTGTTGAGGTAGGTCTTGGTAGGGGGCGAGCATCTTACATATATATATATATATATATATATATATATATATATATATATCCATATGTATATGCACATTTGTACACACAGATGTATGTCTAATGTATGTATGTATACATATATATATATATATATATATATATATATATACCGCCCCCCCCCCAAAGCCCCGTGTCCCACACGTCCACGTGACATCTCGGGGACGCTCCCGGCGCCGCTCCCCCGGCCTTTCTGGGGAGCCCCCACAGCGCTCCAGGAGAGCCCAAGACGACCCCAAGGAACCCCCAGAATGCGAAAGGACGGCCCAAGACGCCCCCAAGCAGCCCAAGTCAGCCTTCCGACGGCTCTCGAGGCTCCCAGGTGGCCTCCAAGAGACCCCAAGAGAGGAGAGGCGTCCCGGGACGGCCCGAAGATGCCAACATCGTTGATTGTCATGCGTTTGTTTTCCCATTTGTTTTGTTTCTCGCGTTTTCGAGCTTCCAACGGTCCAGGAGCGCCGAAAAGGCTCCCAAGGCCGCTCCAAGACCACCCAAGAGACCCTCAGGACGGCCCCGAGACGGGCCAAGAAGGCTCCAAGACTGCCGAAGAGGCGCCCAGGACAGCCCCAGACCACGCCAGAACATGCCCAAGATGGGCCCAAGAGCGGGAGCAGGAGGCTTCCAGAGACCTCCGAAAGGCATTTGGGATTCCTCAGAAGCCCCCAACACACCCCCGATCCCTGGGAGGCTTTAAGAAGACCCCGACGAGGCTCTAACAGCAGCCCAGACAAGATAAATTTGTTGATGTCCAATGGCTTTTCTAATGTGGTTTCGCCTTCTCGCGTTTTCCCGCTTCCAACATTCGAGGATCGAGAATTTTGAAACAACCAAAAAAAGGTAATTCCCAGAATTCCCTTTTTTTTCCAAAGTGGACTCCTACTCGAAGATCCCGCACATCCCTTGACATCTGGCCGGCACCGCGCCTCCCGGCTTCCCGGGGGGGCCCCAAGACGCCCAAGGACAGCCCAAGACGACCCCAAGGAGCCCCCAGAACGGATAACAAAACCCGCGAGGCACAAACAAAAAACAGCGCCGAACGGCGCCGAGGAAGTGGAAAACAGTGAAATCCCACAATCCCTTTTTGTTTCCAAATTTGTCCCCCCAGTCTACTCTTGAACAACAAACCGCAATTCAGACCCCTTTCATTTCCCAAAAAAGAACCCAGGAAGCTTTTGAGGGCCCCAAATCTTTGAAAACCTTTAAAACATAATGATTTTTGCGTTCCCGCACTCCCCCGTCTATGCGATTCCGAGGCTTGCGCAGGGCCTCCAAGGTAGTTTCTGGACGCAAGAAGCGTCCAACATGATATTACATGGGTTAGCGTATCAAATATAGCTAGATCTTGAGCGCGCGCGAAACGCGCGCGATGGATCCAGCGTGTGTGTGTGTATATATATATATGTATATATATATATGTATATATATGTGTGTATGTGCATAGATATATATACATACATATGTGTGTATGTGTGTATGCGTGTTGTTGTGTATAAACATGTGTGGATCGATACGTACATGTATGTAGAGGTCATACATGTATGTAGAGGTCACTGTATGCACACACGCGTATATACATATGTATATACACATGGCTACGCATGCCTACTCAAAATTAAACGAGTGTGTATATATGTATATGGTTATACGTGTGTGTACATACAACAGACATGTGTACATACAAACATACAGTCATAGGTATTTGTTGTTTTTTTTTTTCTCTCTCTCTCTCTCTCTCTCTCTCTCTCCAAAAACATGTGAACAGCCTGGCCCAGACCCACATGAGGCCCTCTGCCCCTCCTCCCGCAGACATCCGACGTCGCGATGGTTCCACCACGCGGGCCCCTGCTGGAGGTCTCGCACTCCTCCGCGGGACCGGCTTTACACACCGAGCTGCTTGTGGACGGCCCCCGCGCGGCCCAGGACACCACCAGCTCGCCAGTGGTCGTCTCCGCCAGCGCCTTGGGGGACGCCGCGTGGGCCCGCGCCCTGGCGGTCCTGGAGGGAGAGAACAATCACGAGGGGAATAAACACACTGACGCAATTAATCGTCGATTCCCAGGAAATCTGGGAAAACATGGAAAATGGGGGGAAGACAAAAACCCAGAAAATGTAGGAAAATATGGGAAATCGTTTTATTTGTATCTATTTGTGTGTCCCGGGGCCCTTTCAAAAAACGAGGATCATGGCCAAGATTGAAGGCGGAATCGTCGGCGTCGATCCTGGCCATCGCCAACTTCTTGGCGGCACGCAGAGGGGGGTATGGGGGGAGGGGGGAAGGCTTTTTGGAAGCACCCCTGCTTCGTAGAGGGCGCCGGTCTTGTCTATAAATGTACGGCCCGCGGCTTCTAAGAAGCAGCCTCCTTCCAAGAAGCCTTCCCCCCTCTCCCTGCCCCCCTGTGCACGCCGCCAAACCTTGGCCATCGCCACCTCGTGGATCATCCCTCGCGAATCGGAGACGGCCAGAGTGCGCCATGACCAAGATTGGCGTCGACGAGGTCTCGCGATGTTGTGGCCATGGTCAGTGCTGCCCCCTGGCTGTCGGGTCACACAGTATTCGGCCTGACCTCCCTTTTTCTCCAAGCGCGTCTAGGAAATCCGAAAGACCACCAGGGGGGCTCGCCGCAAAAAAAGGTAGCGGAACGCATGCAAACAAAAGGGACGACCGAGCCCCTCTTGAACAGCATGTGCTCCTTAAGAAAGCCGGACCCTGTACCCCCAGCTCTCTGGCGGCCGTCCGGGCCGCTCTGGGCACCCCTGGGCGCGCTCTCGGCGAGGCGCGGCCGCTGGAGAGCGGCCTGGGGCTGGAGAAGCCCTGAGGATCGAGGATCGAGGGTCGAGGGTCGAGGGTCGAGGATCGAGGGTCGAGGGTCGAGGGTCGAGGGTCGAGGGTCGAGGGTCGAGGGGCGAGGGCCGAGGGCCGAGGGGCGAGGGCCTTCCTTCCCCCGAGATCTGCCTCGGCCTGCCGGCGCTGCCCGCCCTCCTGGCCGCGTCCTGCGCCAACCAGGCCGTGCGCCGCCTCCGCGGCCGCGCGGGCGCGGGCGGCCTCGTCACCGACCGCGTCGCGTCGGCGCTGGGCAGGCGCTCGCCACGAACCCAGACCTCCTCGGGCAGTGCAAAGATCATGACGGGAGGGTCTTCCATATGTTCGGCCTCTGGAGGCCCTCGCCGGGCCTCGGGGCCGTCAAACAACGACTCAGGATGAGAAACTGGTCTCGGGGAATGCGTCGAGACCTCTCAGGGTCGACGTTATGAAAAAATCATGACGTCGGGGATCTGGGAATCGGCAGCGGAATCCGCTTGCCTACCCTCGCCGATCCACGATCTGGGAGAAAATGGACGGGCGGCGGGGGTACCGGGTTCCAGAAGGCGTTCGAGCACGCAGCGAGAGAGGCGAGCCTTGCCCCCGACCCCCATCGATGCAGGAGAAGCGCTGCGTGGCGGGGGCAGGGTTTGGATGGCGCCACCTGGCGAGGCCGAGCCCCGACGGTACCGGGGCCGCAGCCAGGCCCCGGGAGCGTGAAAAGACGTCTGGGGGCGAGCAGCCTGTCCATGGGAAGCGGTCGGGTGTCCACGCCGTGATCTTTCAAAGCACGACGCCGGGCGTCTGGGGGCACGGCTGCTCGTCTCGGAGCGTCCTCGTGACCACGGCCTCTCTCGTGACCCAGGCACCCAGGAAGAGGCCTGCGGAGTCGCGGGCAAGCATAAGAAGGACCTTTCGCCGGAGTGACCTTGGGTGCACGGCTTTTGGGCGCCTCGCAATTGGGGGCGAGGGGTATCGAAGGTTCAGGAGCGCGACTCCAAAGAGGTTCTGATAGGGACGCCCTTGGGCCCGAAGGTGCAAGAAAGGAGTTCATTTCTCATCACCCACCTCCCGCTTAGGGCCTCCCCATCGAGCAGCGCCCGAGGCTTTGGGGGGGCGCGGATCTGCGACCAATTGCGAGCCGTACCCCTGCGGGTCCACTCGACGCTGGGGTATCGGACACCCCCGCTGGGGTTCACTCGGCTGCAGACATCCTTCGAATTCTGAAACGCAGCTGGCGTTTCGGTAAGCTGACATGTAGGGGTAGGGTACACGTGTGGTTGCTTATCGGATACACGTGAGAGTATTCATTGGCCAGAGAGACTTTGGTGCGCGGTTTTTGGGGATGCGGGCGGGCCAAATCGAAGCGCCGCGCACAAACGGTCACTCTTGCCCAAGGTCGCTCTTGCGTGCTGACGGTGCTTTTCACGACGCCAAAGCGGGTCCTGAGCGCAGATCTCCGACGGTCGGAGGACGAGGAGGAGGAGGAGGAGGAGGAGGAGGAGGAGGAGGAGGAGGGAGGAGGAGGAGGAGGAGGAGGAGGAGGAGGAGGAGAAGGAGGAGGAGGAGGAGGGGGAGTTCTCCTCGATTTCGGCCTTCGGGTCCATTCTCGGGCCCCGGGGACCATCAAGCGCATCCAGAGTGCAAAAAAAATGCCCCCCAGGAAAAGGGGCGGGAGCTCTGGAACCTTGGAGGAGGAAAAGCTTGCCGATGTCCCTGCACGTCCTGGAGGGCCCTCGCCACCACGGCTGGATCCTCCTCGGGACTGGTCAAACTGCACCCCGGCATAGGTCTGGGGAGTCGCGGTACCGGTATTGTTGTGTCCCCTTAAAGCTGGGCTATCAATTGGGGTTTTGTTATGTTGTGCGAGGCTTGGCGCACATACGAACACGAAATGTGGGAGACGAGGTGTGGTCGTATTTTGATGGGCTGGTAACACGAACACTTACAGAGGTGTTGCCATTTGGGTTAACAGGCGGTGGAGTCGGCGCGTAGTCAAATTTCAGCGGGTCAGCGAAAGATTGTGTTGTGCAGACGTTGGGGTGCGGAATGTGAGGTTACGTTTGGTACCCGCTTACTTCCTTCATAGAGGTTATGGCGACAAACACGTACAGAAGTCATGCTGCAAATTTGCGCAGATACATCTACAAGCATGCAACGACTAATGTGCTACAATTATTGGTGGTGATTTCAATGCCCAGGTCGGCGCACGAGTTTAGGATGACAGCAAACGTAATATAGGACGGCGCGGGGTGGGTACTATGAACGCAAGGGGGCAATGGTTGAGACAATGAGCAACTATCCAACGTTTCAGGATCATGAACATGTGTTCTATCAGCAACTCGATGGCATTTACATGTACACATCGCCAAAACAGGTCCGACATCATATCGTGTTTCATTTGGTTGGAAAGCGATCGTGGCGTCACACCGTGGGCTGTGAATCGGCACCGGAATTCGATATCGATGAGACAGTCATGGATTCACATTTGCTCGAGACTCGGCTCCAGGCACACTGCGAACACATTGAATCGTCATTGACGGACACATCCGCCCAACTCCAGCCTCTTCCTGTCGATTGTCTCACGACCGCTGAGGCAGCGAGCAGCGCGCTGACATATCTACCGCAGCAGCGTCGCGACGCGCCGACTGCCGAGACGACGGTGCGAGACCACCTCAGCAGGCGCAGCGCCGCGAGGCCCGAGCGAGCAGAAGGGGCTGCCCGCCGAGGGGCAAGCGACCGCATTTTGACTGAGAGCTAAGATCTGAAGCGCACCAGCGGCTTAAATGCACACAAGCGCAGAGAGCTGATCCCAGGCATGACCTGCAAGCACGGGCACGACTACGCCGACTGGCAACCTGCAGCCGACGTTGTTCGCCACTTTCGAGGAGCAGCTCTACGGCGATGCCCGCAGGACTTGCCGAGGACCTGCCAGACGCCATCAGAGACTTACCACGAGAGGCAGTCCCAGCGTTCACAATGGAAGAATTACAAAAAGCCCTACGGCAGCTGATGACAAAGCACCCAACTGCGCCGGAATCGCCGCAGAGATGTAACGTCCGGAGGCCACTCATCGCATTTAGTATTATTCCTGTTGACGAACAGCGCTTTACAACCAGAAGCACCAACGCCGACGAGTTGGCAGCACATTGTGATCAAGGTTTTACACAAAGGTCGAGACCCGCGACAAGCACAAAACTACCGTCCAACCCCTACGCTGCACATGCTCTACAAGCTATTTTCAAGATTGTTTTACAATCGAGTCTACCCGCTAATTGATGACCAACAGAGTAGAGACCAAGCAGGCTGAAGAAACGGGCGCAGGACCGCATATCAATCTTTTACCACGACCATCTTTCAAAAACAGACGAATTGAGGATCCCCATAAACGTTGCGGCAGTATTTTTCAAGAGAGCTCTCGACAGCCCAACGCACAGCAGCCAGCACTTGGGCAGCGCCTACAGAGCAAGGCACATCACCAGCGTACACGCGATTGTTGCCAAAATTCTGTGGCTACGAAACTGCTTCGGTCAGGATTGACCGCAACAGCCGGGCTTTTTAAATTTGACACGGGACAAAGCAAGACGACCAATTGAGATCTGCTGTTCAACAGTGTTTCTGAGCTTTGGATGCGGCGGATTAAGCAATCATGGGCTTCGCAGGGATGGGCATGTGCTTAGAGACGCACACCAACGACCGCCTCACGAATCTCAGCTTCGCCGATGACCTTCTGGTTGTCGCTGGAACGCTTGACCACGTCAAAAGAATGCTAGGGGGCCTAAGAAAGGAAGCAGAGTATGTCTGGCTTTAGAAAGAATATTCTAACAGCGGACACCGGCCACCGAGAGCACGACGACCACCATCACGTGTTGACGTCCGGGGTATGAGTATAGAAGTTCAACCACTTTATCAGAGCACCAAATACTCGGGAAGGCAAGTGCAATTCGACGATTCTTGCGGGACCGAGATAAGGAATATAATCCCCACGGCGTAGCGTAAGTTTCGCACATTGAAGTCGGAACTTGCTAGCAACTACTACTCTCTCAACGGCAGGCTCGTTTGTTTCACGGAGTGATCACCCCAACGGTTCTTTATGGGTGCGAAGCGTGGACCATGTCAAAACAGTTGGAGCAACGGCTGCAGAAGACTCACCAGCAGATGCTCCGGATGATCGTGCGTACGCTGCGCCGCATGACTCACAGTGCCACATCCACGCATAAACGACACTTACATCGACGTGCCATCTGATGAGAGTACCCACGCCTGCGCACATAGCCGCGACGATGATGGAGCCACCTCGCCCTCATCGACGCCGTGTGATATCCCCAGGCAGAATTGGAAGAGTCCGTGGAGCATTGGGCCGGACGGTCCACGCGCGCCGCGGAGGAGTGCGTGAACCGGCTCAAGGTCGACGACTGGCAAGCGTCATGTCGACAGAAGAGGAAGTGGGCGCGGTACCTCGCGACAGCGAAGGCCGCCGAATGGGCAAAACTTGCTCTGCAGTGGACCCCTGAATTTGGCCCTGGGTACGACGCAACCCGCAGAACAAGGCGCCCCAAACAAAGATAGACACGATTTGCGACAGTATATGAGTGCAGCGGGCGACGACGCAACCACGGCAACAAGCCTATCATATTCCATCGCATCACCATCTTCTCCATCATCCTTCACACCGTCACAGATGCTTCGCGTTGCTTCCACGGCAATGTGTGAATCTCTCGAACATGGGCTCCTGCGCCGACCTCAATCATGTGGCTTTCGTCTCTCCGACTCCGGCTCCGACTCTTAGCTTTCGTATCCCATCTCTCCGGCTCCGGCTCCGATTTTGGTTGCCGTCTCCGACTCCGACTCGGGCTCCCGATTTTCCGATTCTAATTCCCATCTTATGTTTTCGATGTCGGCTTCGATTCTGGCTCCCATCTTCACGACTCTGGCTCTGACTCCGGCTCCAAATTTCCCGATTCCCATTCCCATCCTAGTTATCTTATCGGTTTCGGTTCCGATTTTGGCTCCTATCTTCACGACTCCGGCTCTGACTCTGGTTCCCAATTTTTTCCCAACCATCCTGTGGTGTTGGGTCCTCGTTTTAAAGAGACAGCGCCCCGCGTCACCTCCTCCTCCCGCTGCCCCCTCCCGCCTCCTCCTCCATCCTTTTCCCTCCCTGCGTTTCACCCACCAAGTAGAGCGTTTCGTGGCCCCATGGGGAGCTCCACCGAAGGCGCCAGTGGCAGGGTTCGCATGGAGGCCTCGGGCCATTTCGGCACACCCCTCACGAGGATCGTGGCCTCGTGGTGAGCTCCACCGAAGGCCCCAGTGGCAGGGTTCGCATGGCGGCCTCGGGCCATTTCGGCACACCCCTCACGAGGATCGTGTCTCCATAGCGCCAGCGGCAGGGTTCGCATGGCGGCCTCGGGCCATTTCGGCACACCCCTCACGAGGATCGTGCACGAGGGTCGTGGCCCCATAGGGGCTCCACCGAAGGCGCCAGTAGCAGGGTTCGCATGGCGGCCTCGGGCCATTTCGGCACACCCCTCACGAGGATCGTGGCCTCGTGGGGAGCTCCACCGAAGGCGCCAGTGGCAGGGTTCGCATGGCGGCCTCGGGTTATTTCGGCACACCCCTCACGAGGATCGTGGCCTCGTGGGGAGCTCCACCAAAGGCGCTAGTGGCAGGGTTCGCATGGCGGCCTCGGGCTATTTCGGCACACCCCTCACGAGGATCGTGGCCCCGTAGGGAGCTCCAACGAAGGCCCCAGTGGCAGGGTTCGCATGGCGGCCTCGGGCCATCTCGGCACACCCCTCACGAGGATCGTGGCCCCGTGGGGAGCTAGCTCCATCGAAGGCGCCAGCGGCAGGGTTCGCCTGGCGGCCTCGGGCCATTTCGGCACACCCCTCACGTGGATCGTGGCCCCATAGGGAGCTCCACCGAAGGCGCCAGTGGCAGGGTTCGCATGGCGGCCTCGGGCCATTTCGGCACACCCCTCACGAGGATCGTGGCCTCGTGGGGAACTCCACCGAAGGCGCCAATGGCAGTCTCCCTCATGGCTCTCAGAACCCTTTCCTGCTTCTGCTCTTCGGTCAGGGGGACGCCGTCCTCGTCATCGTCGGCGCCCGCGAAGACGGCCACAAACGTGTCCCTGAGCATGTCGGGCTCCGGCGGGAAGCCGTGGCCACATAGGGAGCGCGGGTGAAGATGGTATTCACAATTGCTGTATTCACAACTGCGTATGGTTGGGTCCTTCGCCAGGCTTATTCAGACTCCCATCCCATCTCTCCGACTCCGACTCCAACTCTGGCTCCCAATTTTCTAATCCCAGCTCCCATCCCATCTCCCCGATTCCGGCTGCGATTCCGGCTCCTGTCTTTCCGATTCCGGTTCCGATTCCGGTTCCCAGTTTTCCGATTCCCGGCTTCCGTCCCATTTTCCGAATCCCGCCCCGACTCCAGCTCCCATCTTTCCGATTGCGGCTCCGACGCCGATCTCATCTATCCGATTGTGGCGGTATGCGTCGTTCTTTCCACTTCTCGATTCTCCCAAAGTTGAGTTTGATACACATTGTCTGCGACGAGCAGCAACGAATCCACACAGTGAGCGGCAGGCCGCATCGGACTCTGGCTCCGACGCGTAGTCCCATTTCCCTGACCCCGGCTCCCAATGCCTGGCTCCAGCTTCTGAGCGGCCAGCCCATGCCGGCGCCCCACCGCTCACCCGCCGCACCTTCGTAGATGTTTTGAACTGGGTGTTTGTCTGGTCTTGTCCCAAAAAACCGGGCCTCGACCATCGCGTTCCAGAACAAGTGCGACAGAACATTGCGGCGAGCTCAGGCATATGCAACGTGTTCGGTTTGGAAGCCGCGCCGTGCGGGGCGTCAGTGTCGCGCGGGGCGACCGACGAACCCACTTTCGGCGACATCCATCAGCAAGAGCATCACAGCGTTCGGATTGCTCATGGCTCCCATGTCGTAAAAGCTTATCCTGTGAAAGAGGTCTTCACCTCCAAATGTCCACGTTGCGACTAAGATCACGACGCCAGAGTTTTGGGATGCTCTCCATGAAGCCAAAGTGGATCCTGAGGGGAGTTGTTCCGGAGGGTGCTCGCCGCTTGCGGGCTCTCAGGGCCCTCCTTGGGCCCCGGGGACCGTCAGGTGATCTCGGGGTGAAGTGTTGGTCCTGCAATGATGGGCCAGTTTTCCACCACCTCTACCATGTGTAGGACGGGGAGAAGGGAGTATGAGGGGTTTGTCCTCCTCCTCCTCCTCCTCTCCTCCTCCTCCTCCTCCTCTCTCTCCTCCTCCTCCTCCTCCTCCTCCTCCCTCCTCCTCCTCCTCCTCCTCCTCCCTCTCCTACCTATGGTAATGGTGGTGGAAAATAAGCCCATCATGGATGAAGGGCCTGGAGCCCAAGACCCGATTCCCTCAGGACCCGCTTGCTTCATGCCCGCAGGTGTTGGAGCTCCGATTGGCTGCTGCTGCTACCGTGGGTCTACCTGTGGTCGTTAGCCCTGGTGGTGTCCAAAGTGACGCCAGTGCTCCTCAACGTCCTACTGGTCTGGCTGAGGCAGGTGATGAGCTCGTGGCCCTACCCGCCCGTCGTGCTCGGCGTCTTCTGCCTCGGCATGGTGCTGTTCCTCCTGCCGCCCGTGCCGGGCCCCCCGATCTACATTTTCGCGGGCATGGTGATGTCGCAGAAGTGCCCGGGTGGGTTCTGGCACTCCGGAGGGGAAAAGGGGTATCAGCGATGTGCCGCCATTGAAAGCCCGTCAGCGTGCTTCTCCTCTTGGTCTTGCCCGAGGAACTGGTGCTTCTTCAGCGGTAGCAAGCGGATGGGTTCCCCACGGCGGTTTGCCATTGACACAGCCAAGGTACTGACGGCAGAGCCACTTTGGGCTCGGGAAGGGCTAGGTCCTAGGTCGGGGAGTTTCTTCGTGGCCGAGGCTCGCCGTGGCCAGGTATGAGCGACGGAGGGGAGCGGGGTCGTCTGCGCCGACATCTGCGCGCAAGTCGCCCGCGTAAGGTCGCGCGTGAGCGTCCTCGTTCCCCACGCTGTGTGCCGCGCTGGCGGCCCGCGCAAGCCATCGCGCAAGGTCGCCGTGTCATCGCGCGTAAGATCGTCGCTCAAATGCCCCTTCGCTTCGTCTACTGTGGTCCCATTGG